TGCACGGGGGGATTGTAGATCTGTGCACAGAGGGACCCGGGTCCTGGCACTAGTGCACGGGAGGGACTGTAAATCTGTGCACAGAGGGACATGGGTCCTGGTACTAGTGCACAGGGGGATTGTAGATCTGTGCACAAAAGGACATGAATCCTGGCACTAGTGCACAGGGGGGATTGTAGATCTGTGCACAAAGGGACATGGATCCTGGCACTAGTGCACAGGGGAGATTGTAGATCTGTGCACAGAGGGACTTGGGTGCTGGCACTAGTGCAGTGGTTTTCGACCAGGGGTCCGGGGGCCGCGAGCAGGTTTCAGGGGGGCCACCAAGCAGGACCAGTGTTAGACTTGCTGGGGCCCAGGGCAGAAAGCTAAAGTCCTGCTGTGCAGGGCTGAAGGCCGGGGCCCTGAGCCCCGCCCCCTGGGGCTGAAGCAGAAGCCTGAGCAACGTAGCTTCACGGGGGCCCCTGGGGCCCCTGGGCAATTGCCCTGCTTGCTACCCCCTAATGCCGGCCCTGGCTTTAATATGCGGAAAACAGTTGTTGTGACACAGGTGGGCCATGGAGTTTTTATAGCATGTTGGGGGGGGGGCTCAGAAACAAAAATATTGAGAATCCCTGCACTAGTGCACAGGGGAACTGTATATCTGTGCACAGAGGGACACGGATCCTGGCACTAGTGCACAGGGGAACTGTACGTCTGTGCACAGGGGGACACGGATCCTGGCACTAGTGCACAGGGGAACTGTAAATCTGTGCACAGGGGGACACGGATCCTGGCACTAGTGCACGGGGGGGACTGTACGTCTGTGCACAGCGGGGTGCATGTCCTGACTCTCCCCACACATTATATGGGTCACCCCTGCCCCTGGAGCCCCTTCTCTTTGCCCTCCTCCTGTAGCTACAGCGATGAACCTGCAGCCTCTCCCTCCCGCTGCCTCTGTCTCTCCTCCTTCGCTGGCACCAGCTCTTTGTTCCCTTCAGCTGTTCTCTGCCTCTCGCTCCTCCCTGCCACGCCCCCTCCCCTCCTCTCCCTGCTCCTGCTGGCCTCCCTTCCATGCTCCCCCCCGCCACTGCCAGCCCCATCAGGCAGGTGCAGCCGGGTCCCAGGACCTGCCGGCCCCCAGCCCCCCCCAGCTGAGGCGTCTCGTTGCCAGCCCTGTTCTGCCAGCCCCGCGGGAGCGAGAGCTCCTGGCTCCCCCCACCCCGCCGAGCAGGGTGGGACCGATACAGTTTGCGCTCGCCTGGGGGGTCCTTCCCACTCCTCCGCTCACTCCTGCCTCTCTCCGACCCCCGCACGCCCTGGGCTCCTCCATGTATGACGACTCCTATATCCATGGCTTTGAGGACTCCGAGGTGGTGAGTGGGGGTGCCGGCTTTGGGGGGGGGTTGGCAGGGAGCCCCCTCCCCGCAGGGCTGGGAGCGCCGGGGGTGCTGCCCTTGGTTGGGGGCTCTGGGTTTCTGGCAGGCCTCCCCCCCACCCGGTTATTTATACAGCGCCATAGCCACGGTGGCATTTCCAGCAGTGCTCCCGTAAGGTGGCGAGAGCGGGTGCGGGGGGGGGGTGGGGCTGGATGCTGAGCAACAGCTGGCACCCTGGTGGGGCTCAGAGTCCTGGATGGGCACCTATGTGCTGGCATGGGGCGGGGGTGTTACAGCCCCTCCCCCCCGACATGGGGCAGTGGGTTTTGTCTCTGCGCCTGGCAGGGGAGCGCCAGGTTGGGGGGGGGATGTAAGGAGTCAGAGATGCTCTTGGCTTTGTCGGAATGTGGGGGGCAGGGATGCTGGGGGCACCCCCCGGCTGGGGGTGGGCTGCGCCCTGAGCTGGGGGGAAGTCGCTCTGCAGGTGCCAGGCGTGGGGGCCCTGTGCATAGAGGGGTGCTCCATGACCCCACTTAGGTCATAGCTCGCAGAGCCCATGGCCGGCCTCAGCTGCAGGGTATGGGAGAGCCCCTCGCTGCGCCCGCCTGCAGAGGATACCCTGGGCCCGTCCCAGCCAGGCCATGGGGCTGCGCCCCCCGTCGGGACAGAGCCACGTGCCCTGCCCCCCCGCGGCTGCACCACAGGGCCAAGGAAGGGGGTCGGGGACAGGATCACAGCTGGGGCAGGAGAAGGCCAGGGCATGGGGGGGATGTGGGCGGCAGAGGGACACAGGGCAAGAGGGGGACAGGCGGGAGGGGAGCATGGGGGTGCTGGGACAAGCTGTGCCCATGGCAGTCTGGCTGAGCCTGGCAGGGGCGGGGAGTCGCTCGGGGGGGGGGGGGGGGCTGCTTTTCAGAAGCAGAGCTGAGGACCTATAAATATTTCACTGCAGCTTCTGCTTTTGTTCTGGGGACGCAGCAGGAGCTGTTCATTGAACCAGGCGGCTCCCGCTGAGGGGGTGGGGGGCAGAGTATACCCCCCCTTCCAGCTCACCCCAACAGCCACTGCACCTTCCCCTGCCTCATGCACCCAGCACCAGGGTCAACAGGGCACACGGGGGGGTTTCACCAGCAACGCTGCCTAGGCCAGGGGGTTCACTGGGCAGCTCAGCACTGGGGCTCACGAGGAGTAGAGTGTGGGGGGAGCTCCAGGGGACAGGGTGTGGGGAAAGCTGGGGGGGCTGGATGCTGTTGGGAGGTGGAGGGCTGGCGAGGCGCTGGGGGGCAGGGCAGGCCGTCCCACGTTAGCCATGGCTGGTGAATGGGGCAGAGGCTCTGTCCCGCGCCGTCTGGGGGCTGGAGTGACTCACCAGCGTGTAGCTGGGTCGTGCGAGGCGCTGCCCGGCGGGGTCGGGTGCCCACCGCGGGCACATCTGCTTGGCTCTGTGGTGCGTGGGCTGGCGCCAGGGGGCCGGAGAATCCGATGAAACAACAAAACCGCCCCCTCTGAGGCTGCTGGCGCCTGGCATTTCCCAGGGTCTGCGGAGCCACAGGGAGCCCTGGGACGGGCCGTGAGGAGCGTGGGCAACAGGGGACCTGGCAGCCCCTCTGGGTCTGTCCCCCCAGCCGGCAAAGGGTTAAAGGTCACTGCAAGGTCAGCATTTCCCGGGGGGGGGGCACTCAGCTGGGAAAGGAAGGGAAGGTGTTTCTGGCTGGCATGGGCGGGGGGCCGCCCCACCTCTGGTCTCCCTCGTCTGATGCCCCGTCCTGCTCAGACCCTGCTGTCTGGCCCAGCAGGCTGTGAAAGATGGTGAGGTCTCCCCCCCCCCAGTCATTTCCCTCCCCCTGCCATGCGGAGCCAGAGGGTTCATAGTGCCCAGGCTGGGGGGGGCGGTGGGGCAGGGCTCCTGCACTGAATAATGGGGCTGACCAGTGGGGTAGAAAGACACCAGGGGCTGGAGTGAGTCTCACCCACACACCCTCTCCCTGTGACCAGGGCATTCACAGGGCTGCCTGGAGGAACTCAAACCCGAAATTGCAGAACTGCTAACTACGGGAGCCTATCGCTGAAATCCACCTCCGCCCCAGTCGAGGGCTGGAGGGGAGCAAATGTGACGCCGATTTTTAAAAATCCCAAGGGGATCCTGGCAATTACAGGCCAGTGAGTCTAACTTCAGTCCCAAGCAAAGTGGTAGAAACAATAGTGAAGAACAGAATTATCAGCCACAGAGATGGGGAAGAGTCAACCTGGGTTGGTGTCACGGGAAATCGCGCCTCGCCAGTCTATTACAATTCTTTGAGGGAGTCGACAAGCATGTGGATAAGGGAGATCCAGTCAACTAGCGGATCTGGATTTTCAGACTGACCTTGACGAGGTCCCTCATCCAAAGGCTCTGAAGGAAACTACGTAGCCTGGGATGCGAGGGAAGCTCTTCTCGTGGGTCAGTAACTGGAGGAAGGACAGGAAACAAAGTGTGGGAATAGACAGGCGGGAACCGCAGGGATCTGTACAGGGCCTAGGGCTGCTCACCATATACATTAGTGAGCTGGGGAAAGGGGTAAACAGGGAAGTGACAAAATTACTCGAGATGGTTCAGCCCAAAGCAGGCTGTGAAGAGCTACAAAGGGACCCCCCCAAACTAGGGGCAGGGCAAGCAAATGGCAGCTGGAATTGGGCGCTGAGCAGTGCAAAGGACCGAGCACTGGAAGTGCGAATCCCATCTCCACACAGACAGTGATGGGGTCTCACGTCGCTGGGACCACTGAGAACAGAGCCTGGAGTCACCGCTCAATGGTCAGGGAGGCCAGCCGGTGCCTCTGGGATCTGGTCGTGTTTGTTCATTCACTCCCTGTAGGCCTGGCAGGCGGGGAGCCAGTGGAGCTGGCAGCCACGGCGGCTCAGTGTTTACCCCAGGCGGGTGCTGGCACGCCCTCCGCTCGCTGGCATGGCCGTGCCGCTGACTTCACCCTCGCTGGAGCCTGGCATTTGCTCCCTCTGCCATCTGGGGTGGAACCCGGGCCAGGCGCGGAGGAGACGCCCAGCAGGGCGGGGAGGGGGGATAAGGGACCATTCCCGCCCCCGGGGGCTGCACCTGGACCAGGCTGCTCTCCCTGAGCAGGGCTGGGGGAGGGCAGGACGGTCTGACGCCACCAGCTGCTCTGTGCCTGCTGCCTCTTAAAGAGACATGCACGGCCCTGGGGTGGCTGGCCCTGGGCTCCCCCTACGCTGCGCTCCCCATCCCCCAGTGCAGACACACCAGCCCCATGTGACCCCCTCCCCCCACATCCTTCAGTGCGGCCGTGCAGCGCTGGTGCAGAAAGTGACTTGTGCCCGCTCACCATAGCCTGGGGGCTTGCACGGCTACAAGCCGCATTTCACACTAGCAGCTACACTTGGGGGTTGCAGGGGGGCAGCTGCAAGGTGTTATTTTTAATCACCTCAGGGGCTGGCAGTAGCACCCACCGCCCTGTACCCCCCCCCGAATATCCCAGGGCGGGTCTGGGGGAGTCAGTGCTGTCCGCAGGAGCACAGATCTGGGTGGACTTTGAGAGGTGGGGGCGTCTGGGCGCAGGGCTTCCGGGCTACAGCTCCCCGTCCTGTGGCGATGGCACTCAGGGTCCCCTGCCCCGCAGGGCTCAGCCGATTCCTACACCAGCCGGCCGTCGCTGGACTCAGACGTGTCCCTGGAGGAGGAGCGCGAGACGGCCCAGCACGAGGTGGAGAACCAGGCACAACAGCAGCTGGAGAGGGCCAAGGTAGCCGGGGGCAGCCCTGGCTCTGCATGGGAGGGATGCTGCTGGCTCTACCAGACCACGAACCTGGGGCCCTCTAGACCCTTCCTCGCAGCCTGCTCCAGCAGCAGTAGAGGGCCTTGGACACACGCAGCTGGGCAGCTTTGCTGCCAGCCACTAGGGGGCAGCGGTGAACACGCACAAACACGTGTGCACACGCTTAGCCAGATGATGGAGTATCATAGAGGTGAGGGTCCCGGAGTCCGGCCCCTCCAGCGTGGCATCCCCTCCTTCCTTCTGCCCGGGGCCCACCTTGCCGGGCCTCCTGCCATTGCCCTGGCCTGGGGGTCAGAGGGAAGCGGGATCCCTCGTACCACTGGGCCCATGGTGTGACGCTGGCCGGCTCCTGGCCGCAGATGGCACGGGGGGGGGGCATGAACACCCAGCTGCCCCATACTGACCCCGACCCCCTGCTTTCCCCCAGCACAAGCCGGTAGCGTTTGCCGTACGCACCAATGTCAGCTACTGCGGGGCCCTGGATGAGGAGTGCCCGGTGCAGGGCTCCGCCATCAACTTCGAAGCCAAAGACTTCCTGCACATCAAGGAGGTGAGTCTGGACTTGGGCTAGAGGGGGAGGGGCTGGTAGCCAGGACACCTGGGTTCTGATGCTGGCTTTGCCACCATCTCCCTCAGGGACGGGGGGCTTCCCTCCCCCCTAAATCCCATCCTTCTGGTCCCAGGGCCAGCTACTATGTCCCAGGGCAGGGGGCTTGGTCTTGTGCCCGCCCCCCCGTAACAGCCCCTGCTGGTGTCTCCCCAGAAATACAGCAATGACTGGTGGATCGGGCGGCTAGTGAAGGAGGGGGGGGACGTCGCTTTCATCCCCAGTCCCCAGCGGCTGGAGGCCATGCGGCTGAAGCAGGAGCAGAAAGCCAGGTAAAGGGGCCGGCGGGGGGAATTCTATGGGCCTTTCCCCCTCCCCTGCCACCTGGCCCCCTCGGGTCATAGCCACCAGCAGAACGGCCGCCCTGCACCTTCAGCACCACAGCCCAGAGCTCTGCCGTGAGCTAAAGGGCAGCTCCCTTAGCCGGCAGCTGTAGCAGGCTGTTATCCTGTCAGGACCAGCCACGGGGGCGGGCATGGCGCACGGTGCACGCTGTGTGGGCATGTTACACACACAGCTCCCGGTGGGTTTACCCCCTTCCCCCCCGGGGCTTCCCCTCTACTCACTGTGGCTTCTCCCCAGGAGATCTGGCAACGCCTCCAGCCTCGGGGACCCCAGCAAGCGGCGATCACCTCCCCCGTCCTTAGGTAACGGCTGCAGCACAGGCCGGTGGGCAGATCCCACGCGCAACCCCAGCCCCCACCCCCAACCTACCTCCCTTCACACCCAGCTCCAGCTCCCCCACCTCTGCACACTGCCCCTCCCCTCAGAATCTGGGCCCCCCGCCTGCCCTCCCCCTTCACTGCCCAGCTCCAGCTCCCCCACCTCTGCACACCGCCCCTCCCCTCAGAGTCCGCCCCCCCACTCACTGCCCAGCTCCACATGATGGGGGGGGACACAGGCCAGGCTGGAGGGGCCCTATGGGCTGATCCCACCCCCCCAGGGCTGCTGAGGGGCCAGTGCCAGGAGCCCCACCCTGCCACATCCCCCTGGGGCAAGGCGCTGGCTTCACCCGTGCTGTGGCCCTGCCCTGGCTGCACCCTGGGCCGCCCCTGCCAGCGGGGACCATGGGCTGGGTCTTGCCGGGATAGGCACGAAGGGGGGGGCGCAGCTGCTGCTCAGCTCACCAAGGGAGAGGGCTGAGCTCAAAGCTGGGCCAGGCAACCTAGCGCTTCCCCCTCCCGCAGTCAGGGGGGCTCCGGGGTGACCCTGGGGGAACCGTGCTCAGGATTGGGGGCTGACCCCCCTGCAGTCAGGGGGGCTCCGGGGTGACCCCGCTGTCCCCACACTCAGTCTCCCCCAGCGCCTCGCTCTCTGCGGCTCCCGATTTGCTTTCACCAACCCTGTTTCTTCTTTCCTTTCCAAAAAGCTAAACAGAAGCAAAAGCAGGTGAGTGGTCAGGGCAGGTTTTGCCTGGTTGCCAACAGGGGGCAGCGTGAGCGCTGCGCACCCCCTGCAGGCTCAGAGCGGGTGCTGCTGTGGAATGCAGCCACTTCTGGGGCAGAGCACGCCAGCATGTAACTGCGGAGCCGTTTGGGACCAGAGGGGAAGGAGAGATCCCTGTGTTCAACTCAGGCTGCATGGTGGGGGTTAGGGAGGCCCGGCCTCAGTGGCCTATGGGGGCACGGATTTGGCCAGGACACCTGTGTTCTCTGGGGATCTTCGATGATCACCAGCCTGTTGGTTCTAAGGTCCCTCCCATCCAGCGTCCCTCTGTCTTCGCCTCCGGGCCGGTTTCCCCCCTGCGCTGAGGGGCCCTCACCTGCCCCCAACCCCTCTCTCTCGCAGGCAGAGCACATCCCGCCCTACGACGTGGTTCCCTCCATGAGACCAGTGGTGCTGGTGGGCCCCTCCCTGAAAGGATATGAGGTAGGAGGGGCATGGGCAGAGCCTTGGGGGGGGGGTGGTTCCCCGGCAATGGCCCCGCCCACGGCACAGCAGGTGCTGGGGCAGGGTCTATCTGGCAAAGGGGAATGTGGGCTGAGAACTGGGTGAGATTGGGGGGGCCCCCAGGGGAGGCAGGAACCCCATTGTTTTGGGGAGCCCTGTTGCTCAGGGAAGGGGAGATACCCCATTGCTGGGGGGAGGCAGAAGCAGGGAGAGGAGCCCCATTGCCTGGGGGTGGGGCAGGACCCAGGGAATAAACTGGGGACACCTCTCACCCCGCCGAGGGCTCCATGTGGCAGGGGGATCTCCCAGGCACCCCCCTCTTACACCTTGGTCAGCTCCCAGCACAGCGCCCCATGCAGTAAGCACTGCCCCCCCTGGACTCCCCCAGAAGTTTGTGCTCCTATGACGCTGCCTTTGCAGCTACCATGGGGCCAGAACCCAGAGCCCCAGCTCCCAAAGCCCAGGCCCTGCCAGCCAGCTAAGGGAGAGTCCCTGCCTGCTGTCGGCAGGAGAGGGGCTTTGACACACAGCGGAGCAGTTCAGACCCTGTCCAGCAGTGGGCAGCGGTGCACGCAGTCACCCCTGGAGACACCTGGATGCACAGACACAGGCCCAGTGGCTCTGTCCTTGTCTGCCCCTGCCCCCGGCTGGGCTCGCCCCCTGCACCTTCCCGCCCGCCCCAGAGCCCTGCTGCCCACCACTGCAGGCCCACGTGACCGCGGCGAGCAGATGGCAAGGCCGCGGCATCCTGGCACAGCCACCATCTCACTCCCCTCCCAGCTGGCACGTCCTTCCCTGGTGCCATCTGCTGCCCGGCCGTGCCCGTGTGGGAGGAATGGCTGGCGCAGGACTTGTCCCTCGCTGACCCCCAGCCCCCGGGGAGGGGCACGATCCCTCTATGGGATGGAGCACCAGGCTGGCATAGGGCATCCTCCGTACGCTTGGGGCTGGCTGACCGCGCTGGCTCTTTCTGCCCCCCAGGTGACGGACATGATGCAGAAAGCGCTCTTCGACTTCCTCAAGCACAGGTTTGATGGCAGGTGAGCTCCCCCCACCCCCCCAGGCTGTGTCCGTCCCCCTGCCCCAGAGCCACTGGGGCTTGACTCCCCCTTGGGGCAGCCCTGAGCCCGGCCGGTGTCAGACCGGCCCTGGCCCCCGGGGGACGGCCCTGTCCCCATGTCACCATCTCTCCCCCTCGCCAGGATCTCCATCACCCGCGTCACCGCCGACCTGTCCCTCGCCAAGCGCTCCGTCCTCAACAACCCGGGCAAGCGCGCCATCATCGAGCGCTCCGCCACCCGCTCCAGCATCGGTGAGTCGTGCCGCGGGCGGGGGGCTGTGGGCAGAGCTGGGGTAGCCCCCCCCACACACCTTGGGGTCTGGCGGAGCAGCAGCAGCCTGCCCCGGGGTCCCCCGCCCAGGTCAGACTGGAGGCTTCCAGATGCCCCCCCCCCCCCCCGGGGAGGGGCCCCGCCCCCCCCCCCCCCCGGCGGGCCCCCCCGGGCCGGGGGGGGGGGGGGGGGGGGAGATTGGCTAGGGGCTGCTGGGACCCAGAGCTCAAAGCCCCTCCCCAGCCGCCCAGGCAGTGCAGCCGGAGGCACCCTAGGGAGGGGGCGGGGAGCCGCAGGGGAGGGAGGGGTGCTCCCCTCCCCCGCCTGGCAGGGCTGGGGTGGCTCACGCGCTCCCTCCCCCAGCCGAGGTGCAGAGCGAGATCGAGCGCATCTTCGAGCTGGCCAAGGCCCTGCAGCTGGTGGTGCTGGACGCCGACACCATCAACCACCCGGCCCAGCTGGCCAAGACCTCGCTGGCCCCCATCGTGGTCTACGTCAAGGTGTCCTCGCCCAAGGTGAGCGAGGCTGGGGGGGGGGGGGCTGGGGCCAGGGGGCACCATCAGGGGTGGGCGCGGGGGGGGGGGGGGGCCCTACTGAGCCCCTGCAGCACAGCGCCCCCTAGCGAAGCATTGGGGCAGCAAGGAGTCCCCCCCCCTGCCCCTTCTTTAGTGACCTCCCATCCATGCCTGAAGTGGGGGCTCTCCATGGGGATGGGGGGCTCTCCATGGAGGTGGGGGGCTCTGCCTGGCCCAGGAGCGGGGGGGGTCCCCGTGGGGGTGGGGTGGGGGGCTCCACCTCGCCCAGGAGACCGTGACTGTCCCCCTCCCCCCGGCAGGTGCTGCAGCGGCTAATCAAATCCCGGGGCAAGTCGCAGGTGAAGCACCTCAACGTGCAGATGATGGCGGCCGACAAGCTGGTGCAGTGCCCGCCGGTGAGTGCGGGGCTGGAGGTGGGACCCCACGAACTCACAGCTCGGGCTGTGCCCCCTCCCCCCACAGCCTGGTGTTCCCAGGCAGGGCCTGCTCCGGGCCCCCTCCCAGCCCAGTCGCCCCCCTGAGCAGGCCCTTTCCTGCCCCCCAGGAGCTCTTTGACGTGATCCTGGACGAGAACCAGCTGGAGGACGCCTGTGAGCACCTGGCCGAGTACCTGGAGGTGTACTGGAGAGCCACACACCACCCGCTGGGCAGCCAGCCCCTCCTGACGCCGCCCGCCGCCATCCCGGGCCTGCAGGTACCAGGGCTCTCACACACGGGCTCTGCCCAGAGCCTGGCACGCAGCACCCTGCCTCAGAGCCCCCCTCTCGCAGGGGGGTAGTGTCCCTTCCTGCCAGCTGCTGCCCCACATCCCAGAGGCGGCCGTATCGTGTTGAGCGAGGGGTCACGGCCTAGCGCTCTGCCTGTGGCTAAGGGGGCCGGGGCAGGGCCAGGCGTAGTCTGTCTGCCCCCCTAGAACGCCTTGCTCTGCTGCACCCCCTCTGCACTGCTCCCTGGAACCCAGAGCCAGGCACGGGACCCCC